CGCAGAGCCTATATAATCCTTGTCGTGGAAAGTGTCCTTCTAACTACATCAAGCTGCCAGATTTCCCTGATGGAGAGCTATTACCAAAAATAAATTACAGCGTTTAATTAAATAATACAATTCCAACACAATAACCAAAGGAGTTCTTTATACCTGTGAAAGAGAAGGTTAATCTGTTCATTGGAAAAGGCGACATGCTACCATCCAGCATGGAAAAAAAGCGAGGAAGAACAAATAAATCATTGGTGTCTCACACACAGCAAATCTTCTGGATGGGCCAGTTTTTGGTTTCAGTATAAACCCAGCTAATGGGGTGATTTAGCGTCATTCCATCGACTTCAGTGAAGTGACTGAACTCACACCAACTGTTCGTCTGCTGATTTCGGAGGAGTGGTCATTGATATCACCTGTTCTATCTATCTATCATCTATCATCTATCTATCTATCGATCTCAGTGGTGTCATTTTCAGTTCCATTGGCTCCAGTCGTAACCCCTTTGGCTGCTGTGAAGTGAGTCCAGATTCAAACCACTTGTTGACCCAAATGAAGGAAATCTATTGCAGAGGAGAGATTCTAGAGTCGTGTGATTTCATCCTGTTCATGTTGCTTTATAACCCATATGGATTGATGGTGGATATAATCCCACGGACCTCAACGTAGTGGCTCCAGACTGAGTCCATTGATGAGGCTTTGAAATCACATCAGTTTTTACTATATATACGTTGCAGCAGAGAGACTCCAAAAATCAATTCACACCAATATATCTGAAAAATAAGATCCACTGCTAAGACATGCCAACACTGCAGAAAACAAGCATTTGCAATCTCACTTCATCCGAGTTTCCTCGCTTTTGAAACCATCAGTCACCCGCACTCACTCCAACAGGTCTTTCCCATCTCTGCGCAGGAACTCTTACAGTACAGTTCCTTTTGCAAATGTCTAGACAGGTCAGTCTGAACTTGAAAATGATCTACTCCCTGGTGGTAAATAAAGAGCATAAAAGAATTGCTGTGCTGGGTAAGACAAACGGTTCATCTAGCTCCATAAGAACATGACTTACGCTGTTTCAGACCAAGGGCCCAACTGGTCTAGCATCCTTTTCCCAACATGCATTTGTCAGAAGCGTCTCAGAAGCCCACAAGCTAGAAATGAAGGCAGCAATGACCCCCTCCATTAAAATAAATAAATAAAAAGACACCCAGAGAACAACAACTGACATTCAGGTATAATACCTCTCTGAGCAGGGAAGTTCCATTTAATTAGAATAGTTAATACCCATCGAGAGACCTACTCTCTGTGCCTGTTGACTCAATTTCTTCTAAAACCACCAAGCCAGTGACCATCCAATTCTACAATTGACCATATTGTGTGAATAAGTTCCTTGATTTTGTCCGCCCTGAATCTACTCCCAATCAATTGAGAGACTATTAGGAGGAATATTTTTCCCCTCGTCCCCTTTCTTCACACAATTCGTGAGTTTATAAGCCTCTGTCGTGTCTTCCCCATCCCTATGCCTTTTTTTGCTGAACTAAAAAGCTACAAATGATTAAGGAAGATGCTTAAACTTTTTGACAATTTTTGTCCCCCCCCTTTTTTAACCTTTTCCTGTTCTGTTCTTTCCTTTTTGAGATGATACGCCAAAACTGTACACCGCGTTCTAAATGCACGGCGCTATTGGTTTTATATGATGGCATTCCGAGACCAGCAGTTTTATTTTAAATTTATGTCCCGATTTGTTTTTCCTCCAACTATTGCTGCACATTTAGGTCTTATCCACACTTCCCTAAAAGCTCTGGGTCCGATTGCCCCTCTTTTTTCGTCCTGAGCTTTCCCTACGAAAACCTGCTCTTTAAAACTGAATCAGAGCAAACATCAATTCAGCTTTAAAGAGCAGGTTTTCACGGGCTCTGGAACAACAACAACAAAAGGTCACATGGACACAGAGCTTTAAATCGTGGAAAGAGCGAAGGAAAGCAAAGTGTATATAAGCCATTAGTGAAACTTTAATTGAGCTGTCCATCACAACCCCGAGGTCTTTATTTGTAAATTAAAAGCCAGTCCACATCCCATCAGTGTATATGTCAAGTTGGGATATTTTGGTCCCAGTGTGCATTGCTTTACTTACCTTAAATCTCATTTGCACTATGCTGCCCACTCACCCAGTTTGGAGAAATTGTGCTGGATCATTACTGCTACTGTACTAGTAATTTAATGCAGTCTATAAATGGCTCATCCTGACTCTGAATGGTTTATGTTCTATAGCACCGGTCCTTGAGGGATTCTATGGGTTACTTCCCTCCATTGTGGGGGGAAATCAATATCTTCCTACCTTCTAATCCTCTAGTCCTCTTATACCAGTCTTCGTAACCTGGTGCCATCCAGATGCTGCTAGCTAAGGCTGATGGGAGTTGTAGTCCAATAACATCTTAAGCCCTTTTAAAATGTGGCTCTTTTTGAGGGGGTGTTATTGGGTTGTTTTGTTTTGATGATATATATTGTGGTTTTGTATGTTGATCTTGTTCTGTGAACCACCCTGAGACCTTCGGGTATAGGGTGGTATATAACTTCAGTAAATAACAATAACATCTGGAGGGTACCAGGTTGACTAAGGCAGTCTTATACCATGACTGCTAAATTTTCTCAGGAGCAGTTCGTGAGGGCCTTCAGCAAATGGGGGGGGGGGGGTTTGGCAACACTAATTTCTGTATCAGATTGCCCCATCCGCACATTTGTTGATATTTTTATGAATTCTAAAAGTTTATCAAGACAGAACTTTCTTTTTTAAAAGCCATGCTGATTCCCTTCAGCGAGGCTTGTTCTTCTCTGTATTTCATAATTATATATATATATATATATATATATATATATATATATATATATACCGTATTTTTTGCTCTATAAGACTCACTTTTCCCCTTCTAAAAAGTAAGGGGAAATGTGTGTGCGTCTTACGGAGCGAATGCAGGCTGCGCAGCTATCCCAGAAGCCAGAACAGCAAGAGGGATTGCTGCTTTCACTGCGCAGCGATCCTTCTTGCTGTTCTGGCTTCTGAGATTCAAAATATTTTTTTTCTTGTTCTCCTCTTCCAAAAACTAGGTGCGTCTTGTGGTCTGGTGCGTCTTATAGAGCGAAAAATACGGTATATTAAGGCTTTCAACCAATTCATCTGAGACCCAAGTTGTTTAAGATCAAGAAACTACCCATCCACCTCCCAAGCCATGTGCCTCTGCTACAGGATTGGCGGAAGTCTCACATTGTGCTCAGCTCCGGAGAAGGTGGAAGCTTCTGCCTGCGCAAAGCATAATAATAATAATAATAATAATTTATTATTTATACCCCGCCCAATTTATTATTTATACCCCGCCCAATATTAAAATACTATAATACATCAAACATTAAAAGCTTCCCGAAACAGGGCTGCCTTCAGATGACTCTCTTTGACATCTGGTGGGAGGGTGTTCCACAGGGAAGGCGCCACTACCGAGAAGGCCCTCTGCCTGGTTCCCCGTAACTTGACATAGCACCACTAAAGAGAATTCCATGAGTTCCCCCCACAACTTGCAGAAACTTCATTAATTCTCAAGGCATAAACTGAATTTGCAACTTGAGGATTCTCAGGTGTGAGCTGTCTGAAACTGGTATCTTTTGAGTTTGTTCATTAGCCCTCGTCTTATTATGTATTAATTTTTTATTTTGATCAGAATATATGCTACATATTTTGGGCAATGCTTTCATTTTTAAATTAAATTAAATTAGATTAAATTAAAGGAAGCCTCCATGCCTTTATATATATATGCTTTCACTCTCCAAGCAGAAATCTCAGGCTATACCATGACCAAGGAAAGATGGCATACAGTCTCCTTGTAAGAAGATGAGGAAAGGGACGTGAAATGATGTCAAAAGCGACTGCGCATGGAGAACAGAAAATGCAGGATTTCTAGAATTGCCTTCAAGGCAGGGTCTTGCAATTCCAGCCATGTCCTTCGCCTTTGAGGAACATGCCTGAGTGCTTATAGCGGACTGCTTATATATTTAAAAAGTACACAGAACCAAGCATACACAGTGGAGAACCTTCCTTCTCCTGTTGCTTGAAGATCAACAAAGCCAGGAAGATCAGTGTAAAATACCCAGAACCAGAAGCAGGCAACATACAACCTGCAGGATGCCTTTTGTCCACACCTCCTCCAAAATGTCTGGAAGCAGCAATGGAGGGAAATGTCAGAGAGGGGAAGCTGTACAATAGCTGAGAGTATGAACTGGGACGTCTCTGGTTCAAATGCCACCTCAGCCATGATCTCACTTGGTGGTCAAAATACTGCTTCTCGGCCTCCGCTCTCTCCCTTTCACCTGCTGCTTTCCCTCCCTTAATCCCTTCTTGAGCCAAGCCTTTATGCCTTGCCACTGTGATCCACGTGACAGTCACTTCCAGACTGGATTATTGTAACTCGATCTACGTGGGGCTGCCCTTGAGACTGACCCAGAAACTCCAGCTGGTGCAGAATGCCGCAGCAAGACTCCTTACGGGGTCCTCGCTGCGGGATCACATTCACCCAGTGCTATACCAGCTGCACTGGCTCCTGGTGGAGTACAGGATCAGGTTTAAGGTGCTGGTTTTAACCTTTAAAGCCCTCGTACCTACGGGACCACCTCTCCTGTATTTGTTCCATAGAGGACCTTACGGTCTTCAAACAAAAACATCTTGGAGATCCCGGGCCACAGAGAGGTTAGGCTGGCCTCAACCAGAGCCAGGGCTTTTTCGGCTGTGGCTCCGATCTGGTGGAACGCTCTGCCACAAGAGACTAGGGCCCTGCGGGACTTAACATCTTTCCGTAGGGCCTGCAAGACAGAGCTGTTCCACCAAGCCTTTGGCCAGGGCACAGCCTGACTCCCTCCTTTGGCAATCTTCACAGAACTCTAGCCCAATGGTTGCCATCAATTTGATTTGAAGTAATTTTTTAATGAAATGATTTTAGAATGTTGCATTATTTTATTGTTGTTAGCCGCCCTGAGCCCGGCTTCGGCTGGGGAGGGCGGGATATAAATAAAAATTTATTATTATTATTATTGCTGGCATAAGCCCACAGAGATGAGATGGGGACCGGATGAGAGCAGGGAGGGAAGTGAAAGAAGGCTGCGACAAAGCACAAAGGAGCCCGAATTGGCCTCTCAATCCTACGCTAGATGAACTGTCTCCAAGAAAGTTAGCAGCAGAACACAGTTGGGGCAGTGGGGGCCTTAAATGGAGAGATGTGAAGGGAATAGATGTTGTTCAATGCCTTCCTATATATATATATATATGTATATATATATTTATATGTACACACACACACACTCATTCATGCATACACCCAGCACTAAGTGGCAAGGACTCCACATGTCCAGTTACACACACACACACACACACACACACATATAGAAGCAACTCTGGAGTTTTGCAGGAATTCAAACAGGGAGATCAGGAGAAATTGTTCTCCTACACCTTTCCCCCTCAAGCCGTTTTTCAAGATTTCTCACCGCAAAAGAAAGTGTTTAAAAATCAGGCAATGACATCCTCTCCCCCACCCACCCGCTCTCCCCATTCCATCGTCCCGTTTGTCTGAAAAGAGAGAGAAAGAGAGAGAGACCGGATAACAAACTGTCCCTTCGGATCTGTGTCTCCTAAGGCACCACTTCCTACTGGCCAGGAGCAATAACAGTCTGTATACTGGGCCAGTGGTTTCTGCCCCCTCTCTCCCCAGAGGAGGGGTGTGTGTGTGTGCTGTGGTTTTGTCACCCTAAGGTCACTGCTTATAGCGCTTGCGTCTTCAGCTCAACGGGTTCCCCAGGAGGCTCTGGCAGGGCGCTGGTTTCAGCTGGCCGGTCGCCTTTGAGGACAGACATACGCTCTTTGACCCCGCGCATCCGGGGGAAGAGGATGAAGTCGTAGAGGAAGCCGCCCATCACACCGCCAACAATTGGTCCAACCCAATACACCTAAAAAGAAGAAGGGGAAGTGTTAAGTTGTGGGTGAACATATCAGACGACACAGGGATTCTTCAAACAGCTCTTGTTTATTCTCAGGCCAGAACAGAACTGAACTGAAGGGTTCAGTCAGCCTGCTTATATAGGGCTCCAGTGCAACGTAACTGTAACAACTTTCTAAAACTATCCAATCATTGAACGTCACTTTCGATCCCTTATTTGCATAACTATCTACAGTATCCCCCTGCTAGCCCAAGGTGAGAACTTCAGTACATAACAGGAAGCACAGAGAAAGGAGGAGCAATGAGACACAGGAGAGGCTTATAACTCTCCTTGAGCTTCAGTTACGAAGCTGGCAGAGCAAGATGGTGGAGTTGGAAAGCAACACCACTTCAAATTTCAGAAGGATTGTGTGGGGGGAACAAAACAGTTCCACCTGCTGTGCTAGTTTATTACACAAAGGGAACTTTTACATTGGTGTGTATTCAAAAAGAATGACTTCACAGTCTCTAAAGTAGAGAATATTAGCAACCCATATTGTTTCCACAGCAGCGGTGACCATGAGGCAAATGAATAGGCTGCATGTTGTTATAAGAATTTGAAGGTCTTATATATATATAAAATAGATTGTTATGTACTGAGTTGAATAGGATTCAGAATGCAGCAGTCTGACTGGTCCTACAACAATAGGATTCAGAATGCAGCAGTCTGATTGGTCCTAGAACAATAGGATCCAGAATGCAGCAGTCTGATTGGTCCACAGGAGCCACCCAACCCAGCTCCAGGTAGAAGTGAATCCGCAACCTGATTGCCCTACAGGTGAATCCCATAATTAGCCAATCACGTGGGGCCCATTGTGTAAATAATGTATATAAAGCAGACATTCTGGGGGAACTTCCATTCCTCCTCACCACTATGAGCTGAATAAAGAGCATGAAATCCACTCTCGACTCTGAGTTTATTTCATAGATGTTCCTAAATGTACCAAGCAAACACATACAAATGTGTAAACCACATGTCTGAAGCCCACAGAAAAGTCCTGAAACCATTTTCTCTCTCCCAAAATGACCTCAAATATTTCTCTGCAAGGTCAAAGGAAATGAGAAATCTCCCCAATGTCTCTTTCACAAATCCTGTCTTAAGGGCACATTTAAGCTATGAATAGGGTGTGAGCCTGTGACCTGGATTCAGGAATTGAGTAGTTATCATAACAAAAGAGTGGCCAGGATGCCCGGGTAATCCAATCAGGTAACCTGGCAGACAGGAAGAAACAACACACCCAGATTTCCACCCCTTCTCTGATGTATTAAGGGGGTGGTTTTTGGCCACACCCCTTCTGTGATGTATATATGATGTTTCTGGGGGTGGTCTTGGACTCCAGGGCGGGCAATTTAAAATGTCTATATAAGGGCTTGTGTGCATGGCTCGGGGTCCCCCCCCCCCGTGTGTGGGGGGAGCACCCTGTTTCAACAGCTTTAATTAAATATCAGGCTTACTAGCTGCTTTGCTTCTCAATATTCTCTGGTTGGTCTCAGTTATTTTCTCCTACCGATAGAGAACCTACAAAAGGACTCTATATGGCCTCTTGGGTACCCCATAAGGGAAAAGGAGCAGGTTTTTCCCCCTCATAACAATGTATATATCATGTCAGCTCTCTTAAGAATTATTGCCTGTCTTTGTCCTAAGGAAGTGTCTGCACCAATACTGAAGGAACAGGCTACCCAAACCTGACTGTGCAGTCACCCGAACCGGGCCCCAAAATTCCCTAATTCTTTCTTCAAGGATCCATTAGCTAAAATCCATTAGCTTGAGCTCTATAACACAAATCCAGCTGTATAAACAGCCTTCTCTTTTATCAGTCCATGAAGGCTTAATGGATGGCCTTGTCAGTTCCGAGTGGAGACAGGATGGCGGATCTGGGTCTTATCTTGTCGGTTGTAACTGTCCTGACCACGCTGACGCACAGACCTTGCAAGACAGGCCTGTCAGCCCCCGCGCCCGGGGATGGCGCCAGGAGTACTCCTATAGTTGGGTGACCTTTTTACCCCAAGATAAGAGTACAGAAACAGGAATTTCTGTTCATGCTCAAGGATGCAAACTTACGTGTACAAACTCATGAGGCTGGATTCCTGGGGAGGGGAAAAATGGGACCTGAAGGGGATATAAGCTGTATGTAACTGCTCTTTAAGTGTGCATGCTGTGACTGATCACGCAGTGCCTTTCTGCTATCCAGAAAGCAGAAATAAACTCTTTCTCTGAACCAACCCTTGGTGCCTATTGACTCCTTCCTCCCTCCCGGGAGCAACGCGCACCCAACCAATGGGAAAGGTCTGAAAGGCTACAATAAAAGGTAAAGGTAAAGGTACCCCTGCCCGTACGGGCCAGTCTTGACAGACTCTAGGGTTGTGCGCCCATCTCACTCAAGAGGCCGGGGGCCAGCGCTGTCCGCAGACACTTCCGGGTCATGTGGCCAGCGTGACAAGCTGCATCTGGCGAGCCAGAGCCACACACGGAAACGCCGTTTACCTTCCCGCTGGAAAGCGGTCCCTATTTATCTACTTGAACCCGGGAGTGCTTTCGAACTGCTAGGTTGGCAGGCGCTGGGACCGAGCAACGGGAGCGCACCCCGCCGCAGGGATTCGAACTGCCGACCTCTCGATCGGCAAGCCCTAGGCACTGAGGCTTTTACCCACAGCGCCACCCGCGTCCCGAAAGGCTACAATACTGTTGGCAAATTCCTTTCTCCTCTATTTGCACCTCCTGGTACTGAGGATATTGCTCTTGGGTCTAATATACATGTGCAAAGAGACGTAGAAGAATTATTTCAAGTTCTCCAGAAACCTTGAAGGAACAAACATCGTGGATACCATCCAAAATTAGTTTAGGGCTTCACCAGCTATTCCAGGATGTCCTCCTAATTAGTGCATATAACCAGGAAAAATAGCTGGTACAAAGTTGGCACAGACTAAGGGCAGACACTTCAGAGCTTTGTATTATTTTAAGTATTGGCAACTGTGTTTAAAATTATTCATGGGGCACCATAACCTGCTGAAGGTATTGACATGGGAATCTTCTGCTTGGGTTATCTTCATTTTATCTGGGGTGACACAGAGTTCTAGGGTGCTTCCACGTCACCATTGACCCAAATACTCCTTTGAACCAGACACAATAATTGAACCCGTCTCCAATCTGAGCTTTACATCTGCAGAGATCTACTAGGTGTCCTGCTCAGCACTGCCGCTGTGAAGGATGGATTTTCAGGGAGAGGAATAATTATTTTATTATTTATTTATTTATTTATTTCCCACCCATCTGGCTGGGTAGGAGGGGCATCCCTAGAATATGTGAAATAGAGCCTTGGAGGAATCTGGCCTGATTAGCCCAGAGCTTTCTCCGCAACCCTTAGCTTGATATGTTGTTACACACCTGATTATGAATAAGCCTAATTTCTTACCCCCAAGCCCTCTCCTTACCCAGTGGTTGGTGAAATTGCGGGTGATGACAGCAGGGGCGAAGGATCGGGCAGGATTCATGCCAGCTCCTGTGAAGTACATCTGCAAGACAGTAAGGTTAGAATGGAGAAACTGTCCCCCCCCTGTATATAAGGCACCCCCATGTCCCTGGACCCTAAGCAGGTCCAATTTATTTTCTAAAGGCTGACTCCGGACCAAACTGTCAATTTCAGTGTCTCGTTTTCTTAGTCTTTATGTCAGTTCTTGCACATCAGTTTCTGGTTGGTTGGTTGGTTTGTTGGTTGGTTTTAGAGTCCTCAATGAACTTTGTCCACATTTTAGTGCAAATCTTGCCCAACGCAGACATTTTTGCAAAGCTAGTTTCCGGAATATAATGCCATTTTGTATGTTTTTTTTCACTAGTGTGTACATTTCAATGCAAACTTTACCCCCAGGATATACATATTTGTACGCATTACTAGGACAGAGAACTTCATTGCAAAATTCTGAGAACTGCACATTTTGAAGGACGGCTACATTTCAGTTTGCATATTATTTTAGAAAGTGCAAATTATGTGTGTTTGCCTTTAAATGTGAATCGAATTGAATTTATTCCCCATTCTAGCTAAAGGCTTGGTGGGATTTATCTGTGATCCCGTAGCTTTCTGTCACATCCTCTGCTAAAATGCAGTGATATGGACGGTCGACAAACAACATACCGTATTTTTCGCTCTATAACACGCACCTGACCATAACACGCACATCGTTTTTAGAGGAGGAAAACAAGGGAAAAAACATTCTGAATGAAACAGTGGATGTATCATTTTTGTGCTTCATGCTGTGGCCACAGACATGTGATCTGATGGTGAATTTGGGGTGACCCAATGCAAAAATCCTGATAATTCCTGTGGATCCATGCTTTGTAACCACGTTTTTGCACCATTGCAGCCCCAGGCAACAGTGGGTGCGTGATTTTTTGGTGCAGGCTGTAGCCATGGACATGCTATGTGATCTGATGGTGAATTTGGGGTGACCCAATGCAAAGATCCTGAGGATCCATGTTGATCTATGCTTTGTAACCACATTTTAAGTGGGGAGCGAAGGAAAAACAAAGAAGGGACATGAGAGGGGTGTGCAGAGAAGCAGCTGGCTAAGAATGCTGGAGAGGGATTTAACGGGTGGGAGGCAAAAGTTCCCCCCCAAGCCAGCCATCTCTCTCTCTCTCTCTCTCTCTCTCTCTCCCTCCCCCCTCTCCCTCTCCTCCCCCACTCTCTCTCCCTCTCCCCCAGCAGTACCGGAGCACAGAGACGACACTTTCCCCTCTGCTTGCCTGGAGGGGAGGGGCTTTCCCTGCTCTTTGTTCCGTTTCAGCAATCACAGCAACGAAACAGAGGAGGGTGGGCAGTAAGAACCCTGAAGCAGAAATGCAGGAAAGCTGCCACTTCCTCTTTTCAGGTTTCCCTTCTCCGTGAAGAGCGATTTGACTTTTGCTTGATTTTTTGGCTCCAGGGACCACACATTCGCTCCATAACACGCACAGACATTTCCCCTTCCTTTTAGGAGAAAAAATCTGCGTGTTATAGAGGGAAAAATACGGTAATATTTCCCTTTTTCCAGCAGCTGTGATTCACTCTGAATGTCACAGTATTGCTCTATTTGTACTCCCATATATGGCCACTCCCACATTGGGAAATCCTTTTGATCACATGCGAAAAGGCCCCCGTAATCTCGACAGCAAGGGAGCCAACATGATCTGTTACATTGCAAACTGATGGAAAATTGGGTTTTGTGCTAAAGCATGGGGAGGGCATAGCTGTCAACCGTCCCTTATTTGGCGGGAAACTCCCTTATCCCAGCGCCGTGCCCCGCTGCTGTCCCGGATTGATGATGTCCCTTAAATTTCCCGGGTTTCATGCTTGCCCGGCTCGGGAGGGAAGCAGCGGCTCAGGGTCCTCCGCCTTGAGAGAGCGAGCGCACGAGCTGCTGCGTCTCCGTCTCTCCCTTTTCCCCCTCAGGGGCGCGTTGTGAAAGACGGGTGGCGGCGGGCAGGCAGGCAGCCCCTCTCTTGCGAGGCTTACGCCACACTGCGAGGGGAAGCCAGAGGCGGAGGCGGCCTGAGGGAGGAGGAAGAGGAGGGGATGAGGAGGGACGCAGAAGGGCGGCGCTTCAGCGGCCACCGCGGCACCGCAACCACCTCATGCCAGGCTTGCGGGTGGCATGGGCGAGAGTCTCTCTCCATCTCTCTCGGGTGGGGAAGGGCTGATGGAACTCATAAGCTAAGCAAAACCCCTTATTTTGGCTGCTGGTCCCTTATTTTCGAGGCTGCTGGTCCCTTATTTTCAAATCTGTAAGTTGACAGCTATGGGGGAGGGCAGCACAGCGCTATGTGTGGGGCTGTTCACAGAACCGAGATAGAAGTACGCATGGCTAATATGAAGGTAATCTGTGCAAATAGGCTACATCTGTTACCACATCTGTGCATCCTGCACAGAGTCATTACCCCAAAGAGGTGTCCAAGAGTGAGGGAGAATCCCACAGCCAACGCTACAGATCCCATGCGCCCGTTACGTCTCTCGTCATAGGTGGCGAAGATGCAGAGGACAAACTGTAAGGTCAGGAAGATCTCCACGACTGTAGCTTGGCTTACATTTACACTGGGGTGTATCTGAAATCAGGGAGACACAAAGAAGGACAGAACCATGAGGAAACGACAGAAGCCCACACCTCATTCCTTCCCCCTACTACTGTTCTGATCGTGCAATAAGCTTCATAGCATCATTATTGACATGGCGTCCAGAACTTTGCAGTTTACAATACTGAAGGCAACTCTCACAGCATCTTTTCCATGCCTATTTATGGAGCTAATCAAAAGTTGGATGTAGAGATTTGGGCAAAGCATTTACCAGGTGGCAATGCGGAGGTCAGACTGTCAGACTTGGTGCCAGTGGTGCAAGGATTTGACCGAGGCAACAGAAGTGAAGGGAGGCAAGGGAGAAAAGTAGGTTAAAAAAAGCACCAGGAAGCCTGAACAGAGTCCCTGGCATGCTCAGACTTATGAGCGAGTGTGAGCAGGAAGCCTTTGTGGGTACCAGGGAATATTACTGACTTGATCTGGTCTACTGATATAAAGACATGCCAGTCTCATTCATAAGTGTGGCTGGTCTCTCTCCAGTTCCTTCCAGAACTGGGTGGTGACAGAATCCTACCCAACATGTCTCAGGTATACAGTGGTACCTCAGGTTAAGTACTTAATTTGTTCCGGAGGTCCGTACTTTAGCTAATTGGGCCTCCTGCTGCTGCTGCGCCGCTGGAGCACGATTTCTGCTCTCATCCTGAAGCAAAGTACTTAACCCGAGATAATATTTCTGGGTTAGCGGAGTCTGTAACCTGAAGCGTATGTAACCTGAGGTACCACTGTATACCATAAGCCCAAGCAAAGGTGCAAGTCATGACACTGTCTCTCAGCTTCAGACTCCAATTAGTGTGAGAGTCCACATAGTTTAAGACACTATTTTGCTTGCTTAAAATGCATTAATGATGATATGCTTTTACTCTTCAAGGGCTGTATGAATAACTCTGGGTTAGGTTTAACACCCTAGGCAAATACAGAATAATTCAGCTGGTGGGTACCCCCCAAAAAGGCCATCTAATTTGACCACCAGCCCTTCATACCCTCACAAAAGTAGGACAACATTGCTGCATGCCACCCCAATTTCTGAGCAATGCAAGATTCCAGGGGTTCCAGGCATGTTTATACAGGGTTCGTGTTTCCTTTGGGAAATAAGGCACAGAGGAGACTGTGGTGTCTTTATGATATATGGTTTATTTACACACATATATAACCTGAGCCTATGCTGGAGGGGTTCATAGGACTGGTACCCCAAGACGGTCTTGCTTCTCCCATAGCTGCAGCCGTGGCTTCAGGACATAAATTAGCCACGGCTTTCCAGCTTGCCGCCTTTACCAGACTGCAACCTTTATCCTCCAGGTCACATCCCAGCCAACTGTAAAGCCTCTAAGCTTTGGCTTTTGTCTTCTAACTAACTCTGAGTTGAGGGAGGGCCCCTTCCTATTTGCCACCTGGCACAGAGCTTTCCTAATGGCCCATCACCACAGGCAATTTCCTCATCGGGAAACTAGCCTGGCTTAATATTTTAACAATTGCTGAATCCAGAGGTTCAGTGTCTGGCACCCAGAAACTAATAACACGAGGGAGCCTGGAACACATAACACAGGGAGTCTGGCACCCACAGGGGAGTCTGGCACCCACAAACTTCTAACAACAACACCCCCCCCATGTTATGCCTACCGGCGTGGTTGCTCAAGAGCGAACAGGCAAGATCCCCACTGGTCTTTTCAAAGGCTTTATTATTGGTGCACAAACATTTACAGTGCAGAACGTCTCAATTCCATGTCTTGCTCAGTCGCTAGCAGAATCTGGGAGTGGGCGGTCCTTAAACTTTCCCCAGCAGAGTAGTCTTTTGACCCCCATCCGATGCCTCCCCTCTCTGTGCGTAAACCTACTGCGCAGAGAGGGCGTGGCTAAAGGGGGACCTGCCTCCCCCCCGCTTTGCTCATGCACGGTGTCTTGGCTCTCTCTTGCATCCTCCGAGCCCTGCATCCCTTCCCCACAAGAGGCGGGGCTTCCCTCCTCCGTGGAGGAAGTGCTGCTTCTCACGATCTTTGGAGGCTCCCTGTAACCCAGCTGCCCTTCCACCTCTCGCCTCTGAGCCGATGGCAGTTCCCTGACACCCCACTATAAAACAGCCTATGCAAATTGAGACCACTGTGTGGAAAAAGTAGGGAGCAGATAAGAATGCCCTTGGACAAAGAGTGATATTATATTACAGTGGTACCTCGGGTTACAGACACTTCAGGTTACAGACTCCGCTAACCCAGAAATAGTGCTTCAGGTTAAGAACTTTGCTTCAGGATGAGAACAGAAATCATGCTCCGGTGGCGCAGGGGCAGCGGAAGGCCCCATTAGCTAAAGTGGTGCTTCAGGTTAAGAACAGTTTCAGGTTAAGAACGGACCTCCGGAACGAATTAAGTACTTAACCCGAGGTACCACTGTATATATTCCATCTTGTTCCAAGAAGTTCAGACTAATCTCCACCCTGTGGGATAGACTAAGAAGAGAGAGAGTGGATATTCCATCATGAGAGGAATGGCAGCTAAAAATATGCGAGTATTTGGAACTTGCGAAAATGACGGAGTCAGTAAGAAATAAATCAACAGACAAAGTTAAAAAAGAATGGGAATGTTTTAGCAAGTATTTGATGAAACAAGGTTCCAATATTAAGACTTGGATGTGCTTTGAATAACTCTGCAAATAGGGAAATATCTTTTATTCATTCCAAGATGAGGATAAATAATTAAACACGGGGTATAAAACAGGAAAACTTGAACCGAAACCGTAAAGAGGCAGAAGGAAGTCGATAACATAATAAATGGTAAAGGGATTCAATCCAAACTGAAGGTTAGAATATACAATAAATACCAATATAGATTTGAATTATATTAAACAGTACTTATCAGTAGATAGGTATTCTTATTGTTTAAGTTGTCATTTTGATATAGTTATTTTTTCTTTATTTTTAATTTTTCTTTTTTTCTCTCCCCCCCTTTTTCTTTTTCTCTTCTTTTTCTGTATGTTTTTTCATCGGTTATGTATGTATGATTTTGCTAATAATAAAAAGAGAAAGAGAAAGAGAAAGAGAAAGAGAAGAGAAAGAGAAAGAGAAAGAAAGAAAGAAAGAAAGAAAGAAAGAAAGAAAGAAAGAAAGACAGAGAGGGTGGCTGCAAGCAAGTGTTATCTCCTGAGCTTTATGGCTCGAGTGATTTTAGGTTCTGGTCCAACCACTACACCACACTGCCTCCCTTGAAATTAATTTAGCAAGTGTGCCAAGCTATGTGCTGCAACAGGAACTGGGAACTTTTCCTCCTGTGATCTGTCAGGGGAAAACCAAAGCCATCTGTAGAAACCAGAGCCCAAAATAAGTTTCCAGACGGCCGAGTCAAAAGAGAGACAACACCCCCACCCCCCATTTTTGTCTATTTTTGCCACCCCACCCCACCCCACCTTGCTGCCTGCTTGGAATTAGGCTAAGGGCAACATAAGCCTAAATACAGTGGTACCTCAGGTTAAGAACTTAATTCGTTCTGGAGGTCCGTTCTTAACCTGAAACTGTTCTTAACCTGAGGTACCACTTTAGCTAATGGGGCCTCCCGCTGCCGCCGTGCCGCGATTTCTGTTCTCATCCTGAAGCAAAGTTCTTAACCCAAGGTAATATTTCTGGGTTAGTGGAGTCTGTAACCTGAAGCATCTGTAACCCGAGGTACCACTGTATCTCTCTTCAATGTTCTCATCATCCTCCATCCTTGAATTATTTGAAGGGTGGTGGTGGTGGTAAGGGGGCACTTAATTAAACCCACAAGCCCAATTCCCAGCCCCCCTGCCCTAGCCGTAGCTAAGCATTCCTAAGAAGGCTAGGAATGCTTTGAATTATTTGTCAAGCCTGGGTTGGACCTTGGTTTTATTTTTCCGTCATGTCCACCAGGGGCATTGTGGGAAATTTAAATGGCAGCTAGAGTTAGGTATTTGTTGCCACTGACCATACAGGACCATGAAAGTGTTTTGCCCCCCCTCGCCCTCTGAGGGGGGGGGTGTTAGTGGTGGTCTCTGCCCAGCAGTTGCCCCAGGCTCTGGGTGCTAGCGCTGAATCTGCTATTTCTCCTTCAATCCACCCAACAAGTGTTTGGATAAATATTCTATTTCTTTTAAACAACCAGCAGCCTCCCTGGAGAAAAAGGGAATTTGCAATCATGACTGCATCTCCATTGGGAATTTATATCTGACCTTCGTGCAACAAAGCTTAGGGGAAGATAGGTTCAACCTAGGGGAGAAAAAAATGCTCGGCAATTTTAATTTTTTGTTTGTAAACACACTTTTACTTTATGGGGTTTTTTTTTGGTAGATCTTAAATCCTTAGACTCATCTCTTTATCTTTGTTGCTCTAGATGCTTTTGCTTTCTTAATCATTGAGTGGACAAAAATTTAAGCTAGCCTATTTTAAGCATTGGGACGCGGGTGGCGCTGTGGGTAAAAGCCTCAGCGCCTAGGGCTTGCCGATCGAAAGGTCGGCGGTTCGAATCCCCGCGGCGGGGTGCGCTCCCGCTGCTCGGTCCCAGCGCCTGCCAACCTAGCAGTTTGAAAGCACCCCCGGGTGCAAGTAGATAAATAGGGACCACTTACTAGCGGGAAGGTAAACGGCGTTTCCGTGTGCAGCTCTGGCTCGCCAGATGCAGCTTGTCACGCTGGCCACGTGACCTGGAAGTGTCTCCGGACAGCGCTGGCCCCCGGCCTCTTGAGTGAGATGGGCACACAACCCTAGAGTCTGTCAAGACTGGCCCGTACGGGCAGGGGTACCTTTACCTTTACCTTTTACCAGTTCTTGACTGAGCCTTTGGCTCACTTATCCCAAACTTCATCCCAGCCTGACCTGAATTAAATGTCTCCAGCTGAAGCTGTGAAGCACTGCATTAAAAAAAAAAAAAAGAGCCAAAATCCTTTAGATTGGCCTAGAACAGATTCACGTAATTTCTGAAGGAAGTGTAAATTCTGACAATCCAAACATGTTTCTAAGGAAGCCTAAATCACACCAACAGGCAGAGCAACAAATCTGAACATCTGGCATCAAACCAACATCTCCGAGGTGGAAGCATCTAAATTTAAGTAAGGAGAAGGACTCTTGATACAAAATTGATTTGGAAAATTTAAATTTCAGCTATGGTCATTTGTCAGCTTCTTTGGCAGTTCTGCTGTCAACCCCATAAAGGAAAAGTCATGTAGTCGGTTATTACCTAAAATAAACCACACTCCTCCGTTGGCTCCCGAGACAGACGGATGCCGAAAAAGCAACTAGTAATTCTGGGTTTCCTTTAAACTGTTGTGTTAGGAGAATGAACTGAGCTATCAGATCACATGTGGTTGAGGGAGTTCTGAGAGGAACAACCCACAGCTCATGAAACAATGGGAGGTGTTCATTACGGGCACAGGCTTAAATTTTATGAAAAACTACAGCAGTGCAAATCCTGTTTAACTCAGCGGGACATACTTCTGACTAAGTAAACGTATTTAGGATTGGGCTCTTTGTGAGCTACAATCGACAAGACATCCTCCCAAGAAGCTAAGTTATGCTTGATCTTGAAATAAAGATAGAATCATTATAAAACCAGCAGATTAGTTAGGTGTGGGCTTCGACAGATGACAGGCCTTTTCACGCCTAAGGGATAAGTTGGCTTTTTTTCTTAAATGCAAACAATTGGCTACAAGATTGCTCTTCTGCATTGTGTCTGGCAGTTAACAAAGTTCACATGCATGGCGCTCATCCAGCTGGCAGAAGCCACAAAGGCGTTTGTTAGCTTGATGCGTGGAAAACCTACGTATAGCCCAAGCCGACACTTATTAAATCCCACTATGCTGTCTTCATACACAATCATCCTCAAATATTCCTGTCTTGCATTCCTTTGTGATCCTGCTCACTTCCCTCACAGTACACACACACACACACACACACACACGGCTATGCATTCAGATAATCTTCTGCCATCTGGGTGCCACCCAGTTATGAAGCCAAAGTCATGTTGATGAGCTGTCAATCAAAGATAACAGCTGAGACAAATGTCTCCTGCATCTGCCACAAATGCACGTAGAGTCCGGCTCCAGGCGCTATGCTAGTGGGTTGTATTCTTCCTAGATCTTGGGACTCAAGACTCCTTATGCGATGTTATGAATCCCTCTCCTCCTTCTAGCACCCTTGGGATTGCCCCTAACAACTCAGAATTTAAAAAACCCCACTATGCAATCCTTCAGTGGATGTTTAGACTATAGGGGTGCCACCCTCCTCAAACACCCTCTGCACGATCCAGTTACCGTGTTGAGTGCCAGGTTACCCCGCAACGCTGCTGGCGTGACTCCGTAAAGCACGGCTGCGCCGGCCACTCCTCCCAGCAGCTGGGCAACCATGTAGAAGACGGCGCGGAACAGGGAGAGCTGCGAGCCCAGCAGGAAGGCCATGGTGACGGCTGGGTTGATGTGCGCTCCGCTCACGTGGCCTAGAGACTGCACCATGGTGGCCGCCACCAAGCCGAAAGCCAGGGCCACCAGCAGAACGTTCAGGGGGCCAACCACCCAGCGTAGCGAGGCCCCCAGGCCGAAAAAGACATAGAACATGGTGCCGAAGAACTCGGCAAAGACAGCCCTCCAGAAGGAGGAGGAACGCGCCTCCCACATGGTGAGGCAGGACGGCGGTGGAGGTGCGGTGCGCAGCGGCAGCAGGGCAGTCTCCAAGCTCCTCTCTGCTGCTGCTGAGCTCCACCTAAGCCCACTGCCTTCTACTGCGGCTGTGAGCTTTATAAGGCTCCCTAGCCCAGCCCAGGAGGTGGGAACTGAGTTCAACTGACTGGGGTCTCTTAACTCTTCCCTGCCTGGCCTGGGAAGTTGCGGTGGTGCTTATAAAAAAGGCTCAGGAGTACACAAGGAGACAGCCAGATCCTGCTCCAGCTTTCAGGGCTTTGATCCTCCTCATTTGTGGATTTCGGTTTCCCCCTTTCCCCCTTTCAGCTAAGGAGCTTCACGGAAACACTCCTTGCTGGGGGTAGATGGGTCATAACTCCCAAGGATGCTACTGCAGCATAAGAGGCCAATTTGTGGGTGTATTTTTCGGAGCAGCCTGGTTCAGAAAAAGCATCGGTCCTCCTCTCTGAACTGGGACGGTTCAAGGAGGGGCTTCCCCAAGTCACAGGTTTTCCCAGGCGCAACGGAGCTCCTCTGTTTGCAAGGCCAAAACTCTTCCCTGTGCAAAAGAATGGAGCAGACATGATGTCTTTAGTGCTGCAACAAGCTTTGTGCAGGAGGGAGCAGAGAGGGAAGGACGGCTATCTTTTTGCACAAATGCTATCATAGGAGACAAAGCAGGATAAAGTTGCCCAAGCAACACGACCCCTGAAGAGTATGCCATCGGGGTGAGGTCATTTTTAGGCCTTGTAGCATCCACTCAACAACTGCAAGACAGGCTGGTGTTATATTGGTACGAGAAAGCCTAGCACCCTCTTCCTAAATGAATCGCAATTTTAACGGATATTTTTTTTCCAGATCTCTGCTGCGTACCTTCGGAAACTACTGCTGTCAAATCACATCTGTGTCTCTTTGTGGATATGCTCTTGATCTGATGGTGTCAAATTTCCCCATAGGGAGACCCTGGCCTTCAGATCCCCACACCCAGACTGAGTTCTTTTCTTGCCACAACAAGAATCCTGCAACTTTTTGTCACAGAAGAAGAACAGAAAGAGATAGCCCTCGGAAGGTAGGTATGACCTGTATCCACGCTGGGGCTGAAATATTTATTCTGTGATTTGTTCATCACATATTAAAACTGGATTTTTAGCTGATCCTACCTATGCACTGGTTAATGGCATTGTTACATCGCGTAATCCAGTCAAATTTAAGCATTTTTAAATCCCAGTGATTGCAGTGGGTGAGGTAATCATAACCCTCCCATTTGAGTCAATAGGGATATAACCAACGCTTAATTTGTCTGAAATGCACCTCAGATTTTGTTCATCTCCAAGCCGTGTGTCTGAGATTCATCTCCAAGCAGCAATATACAGTGGTACCTCGGGTTACATACGCTTCAGGTTACATACGCTTCAGGTTACACACTCCACTAAGCCAGAAATAGTGCTTCAGGTTAAGAACTTTGCTTCAGTACAAGAACTGAAATCGTGCTCAGGCGGCGCGGCGGCAGCAGGAGGCCCCATTAGCTAAAGTGGTGCTTCAGGTTAAGAACAGTTTCAGGTTAAGTACGGACCTCCGGAACGAATTAAGTACTTAACCCGAGTTACCACTGTACCTGGATGCATTGTTTAGGCACCAGGAAACTGTTGCCGCTTTGAAGAAGAACATATGGTGATATACCTATTTTTAACTGATTTGAGGCAGCAATCCTATGCTGAAAATGCATTGACAGAGGAGCCACAGGATTCAGCAGAAGCCCTGCTACATCAGCGGAGTGCAAAAGGTCCCGCCACCACACACACAAAATATATGAGAGGAATGCCCGAAACACACCAGTGAATATTCACTGGCGGAACAGCTAAGACAGGGCGGCGTCAAGAGCAGGAAAGGAGTGGCACGTGGAGGAGCACTTTGCTGAATCTAAGCCTAATCTAAATTTGGGTCTCCAGCAGTTTTTGGACTACAATTCCCATCATCCATAACCACTTGTCCTGCTGGGATTTGTAGTCTAACATCAGCTGGGAAACCCTGATCTAAGGCAACCTAAAGGTAAAGGTAAAGGGACCCCTGAACATTAGGTCCAGTCGTGACCGACTCTGGGGTTGTGGCGCTCATCTCGCTCTATAGGCCGAGGGAGCCTGTGTTTGTCCGCAGACAGCTTCCGGGTCATGTGGCCACCATGACTAAGCCGCTTCTGGCGAACCAGAGCAGCGCACGGAAACGCCGTTTACCTTCCCACCGGAGCGGTAACTATTTATCTACTTGCACTTTGACGTGCTTTCGAACTGCTAGGTTGGCAGGAGCAGGGACCGAGGAATGGGAGCTCACTCCGTCGCGGGGATTAGAACCGCCGACCTTCTAATCCTCAAGTCCTAGGCTCTGTGGTTTAACCCACAGCGCCACCCACGTCCAAGGCAACCTAGGGCCCTCCAGATGGACTGTGGAGCTGTAGTCTAAAACTATATGGACAATACCAGGTTGGCTTTATCCTATACCCCTTCGAGCCATGGCTACATCACTGTCAGTGAGAGAGCTTTACACCAGCCCAAGACCTAGATTTCCTCTTGACTTTGGGGGTGAGGTAATCACAGTGGCCACCCTCATGTTAATGGCCATGCAGCCCACATGACCATGTCAGAGCATAGGATACAGTGCAGCTTAGCACCTAATCACACACCTCACCGCCCCCAGTATATAAACCACACACAGGGAGACCACAAATTATATGCAGGATGCCTGGCATGAGGTAATATGCCCCTGGCGTCATGTCATGCACATTTGGGAACTTTGGCATGAGGGCACTTTGAACAAAAAGGAAGCACTTTGCATAACACAGCCTGGCCTCACAACACAAGTAATTATATTTATTTATTTATTTATTTATTTATTTATTTATATTTATATTATTACTATTATTATTATTATTATTATACCCCGCCCATCTGGCTGAGTTTCCCCAGCCACTCTGGGCGGCTCCCAATCAAATGTTAAAAACAGCACAGCATTAAATATTAAAAACTTCCCTAAACAGGGCTGCCTTCAGATGTCTTTTAAAGATAGGATAGCTGCTTATTTCCTTCACATCTGAAGGGAGGGTGTTCCACAGGGCGGGTGCCACTACCGAGAAGGCCCTCTGTCTGGTTCCCTGTAGCCTCACTTCTCGCAACGAGGGAACTGCCAGAAGGCCCTCGGAGCTGCACCTCAATGTCCGGGCTGAACGATGGGGGTGGAGACGCTCCTTCAGGTATACAGGACCGAGGCCGTTTAGGGCTGTAAAGGTCAGCACCAACACTTTGAATTGTGCTCGGAAACGTACTGGGAGCCAATGCAGATCTCTCAGGACCGGTGTTATGTGGTCCCTGCGGCCACTCCCAGTCACCAGTCTAGCTGCCGCATTCTGGATTAATTGCAGTTTCCAGTTTACCTTCAGAGGTAGCCCCACGTAGAGCGCATTGCAGTAGTCCAAGTGGGAGATAACTAGAGCATGCACCACTCTGGCGAGACAAGTGGGAACCTGGGCACACTGCCAACTCTGCACCAGCAGTTGTGTGGAATGGGGGACACAGGGGTGGTTGCCCTGGACGTAGAATTGTCAGGGGTGCAAAATTTCAACACCTGGTGCTGCCTCAATACAGCTGCGCACTTCCGTTGCTGGGCTCCATTCAAATTTTATTTTATTTTATTTATACCCCATCCATCTGGCTGGGTTACCCCAGACGCTTTTGGCAGCTTCCAGCACATATAAAAACATAATAAAATGTCAAACATAAAAAACTTCCCGATACAGGGCTGCCTTCAGATGCCTTCTAAAAGTTGTGTTGTTCTTTATCTCCATGCAGACCAGGAAGTGACCTCTCCAGACAACGGAATGACTCCTTCTATTCTTACATCTGCGGCTGCGATCTCCTGGGTGACATGGATGCTTGAATGCACATGCGTACTCCATCTGTTTCCCTCCCTAGCACCCCTCTGCATGGCCTCGGGTGCTGGCAACGCACAATATGCCACTGTGCCTTATAAATTCCTTGGTAGTTCATATACTCCTTTCATCCTTCCTTCCAACTGAAGATATATGAGCAATTATACTTCCAATTAAATTAAATCCCAAGTCCTCTTAGCGTTATTCACTTCACTTCGTAAATAATAAAGGATGGGGAAGAGTCAGCTCTAAGTTTCTATTGTGAACCTTTACAAATATAATTTGGACTAACCTTCAGAGGAGGATTGCCAAATCATAAATGTAGAGAAGAAAACTTTAGATAAAGAAACCGTAGGCTCCCCTCCCCCCACCTTCTTTTGCACTGAATTAAATCTTAAGTTCTTGCAGTTGGTTTGTTCGACAGTTTGTGATCTCACCTCTTCTAGCACGTGCCTGTACTTTAGTCCAATTAAGCTCTAATTAACAGGAGAACCTCTGCTGCTTAATGGCAGCATGGGAGGGTTTTAGACAGGCGATGTGCTTTTGCATGCCGGAGCGAGAGCGAGGTACTGAGATGAACTGCAAGTGAAGCCCATTCCCCCACCCCACCCGTCCCTGGGAGGAATTTGCAAGGATAATTACCCTCCATCATCCTTGTTTTTCCTCCGCCAATGATCTGCTGCCGTGGGAGCTGCCTCCATTAAGGCAGAGCGGAACCGGAAGCCTCAGCCCCACTATAAAGTACAGCTGTGCTGTGAGTGCCTCCCTTGCCACACTTTGTCATATGTCATATGTCTGACCCATATTACTCCCCTCACAACAGCAGGAAAGGAGTGCTATCCCTCCCACACAGGAGAGACATCCATCCTCCCCCCATGCTGGTAAGCTCCAGTCCATTCCCAGTAACTGGGGTACCAAACAGAGCATCTCACACAGGTGGAAAAGAGGGGAGGCATGACACTTCCTGCAACATATAACCCCTATTGCCATCTTGCATGCTTCATCCATGCACCACTTTCTTTACCAAATGTGGAAAACTTGTTTTCTTCTTCTTCCACTCTATCGCTCTAACACTCTTCTTCCTGCACCGCCAGAGGTTGGACTAGATGACCCTTGGGGTCCCTTCCAACTCTATGATTCTTGCCTTTCAGATCACACAAGGGAGGTGCTGCATCCAGTATGCAGTTAAGCTCTGCTGGCAAAGGTGTCAGAGGAGAAATAGTGGAGACCACCTCCCTAGCCTGACCCTTCCAGAGAAGAAGAAGACAGTTCAGAATTACAACAGGGGTTTGAAGGAGATCACAGCTCAGAGGCAGACGAGGGGAAATAATGGGAGAGGAGGAAGAAGAAGAAACAGCAGCAGAGGGGGAGGCAGCTGATGGACACAGTGTATTTAGAAAGCATTCCAGACCCCCCCTCCCAGAACCTGGAGAGCATTGAAAGTAGGAGAGCAGAGAGCTCAGAGGCAGAGGGCACATAGCAGCACCCATAGTGATGGTGCGTGAATGGAGAGAGGGAGGAGGTGGAGACTCACTCGTGGCAACGCCATTATTCTCAGAGGCTCCATTTCCAAGCCTCTCTCTGTGAATATAGAATAAAAAGCAGTTGGTAAGAACTTTTCCTTGTCTTATCCATTCCTGGTGACCTGCTGTGGCGGTTGGATCTACTGCCGCCTGACAAAAGGCTAGGCAGTCTGCACCAAGCATAACTTAAATAGCTTATACAGTCTGAGTCTTTGCCAGAAGACCTGGGGGGTGGTTGTTTCTGTTTTTCTTTTGATTATGTATTTTGTGTTTTTATATTGCAATTTTATCCTATGAACCACCTGAGATCTGTGGGTATAGGGAGTATATTAATACAGTGGTTGCTTGGGTTAAGAACTTAATTAGTTCTGGAGGTCCGTTCTTAAGCTGAAACTGTTCTTAAGCTAATGGGGCCTCCTGCTGCCACTGCGCCACCACCATGTGGTATCTGTTCTCATCCTGAAGCAAAGTTCTTAACCCGATGTTTGCTGACTGGGAACGGTTATGGACCACCGGTGTGAAATTTACGGCATGTAATGCCTTAAATGGTGACAGCAGCCACGAAATTAAAAGACGCCTGCTTCTTGGGAGAAGGGCAATGACAGGCCTAGACAGCATCTTGAGAAGTAGAGACGTCACCTTGCCAACAAAGGTCCGTATAGTTAAAGCCATGGTTTTCCCAGTAGTGATGTATGGAAGTGAGAGCTGGACCATAAAGAAGGCTGATCGCCGAAGAATTGATGCTTTTGAATTATGGTGCTGGAGGAGACTCTTGAGAGTCCCATGGACTGCAAGAAGATCAAACCTCTCCATTCTGAAGGAAATCAGCCCTGAGTGCTCACTGGAAGGACAGATCCTGAAGCTGAGGCTCCAATACTTTGGCCACCTCATGAGAAGAGAAGACTCCCTGGAGAAGACACTGATGCTGGGAAAGATGGAGGGCACAAGGAGAAGGGGGCGACAGAGGACGAGATGGTTGGATAGTGTTTTCGAGGTTACCAGCATGAGTTTGACCAAACTGCGGGATCTCCTTTAAACGCGCAGGACCTCTGCGAGTCGACTCTTTCGCACTTTTGCCAATTAAGGGTCCTTGAGTCGCTCGCGTTAAGTAGCTAATAATAATAATAATAATAATATAATAATAATAATAATAATAATAATATCTTTATTGTCATTGCTCCCTCTCGGGGACAACGAAATTACTTGGCTGCTCCATCCACCCAGGTAGGGCACTCCACACAAAATCAAAACAACTATAAAAACACTAATAATAATAATAATAATAATAATAATAATAATAATAATATAGCAGTACCATTATTTGCTAATGAGTAGCAAAGCCCTTCATAAAGAGGCGGGATACTTCGAGAGCCTCAGAACATCTGATTTTGGGCCAGCAAAATGAGTTTAACATGGCTGTGTGTGTGTTGTTGCAACTTTTATAGAATATTGTATGTAACCTGCTTAGAATTTATTATTATTATTTGGTGTATAGGTGTATAAATAAATCAGCTTAGCCTAGACACGAAGCTGAATATAATATGGATTGTATATGGATTGTAGCAGTCATGGAAGTGCAGGGGGCAGCTGTCCCCGAAATCAAGTAAATAAATAAAATACTTTGTCATTTTCAGTTACATACATTTCAGTAGTTTACAGTCATTTAAACATTTCAAGACTCAACTTCCTTCTCTTTCTGCGGTTCCTTAATTTTTTTTAATCTTTTCTTGCATATTCTAAATTAACTTATTCTTTTATTCATCTACTTTAATTATATACTCTTACAAAACTGCCAGTTATTACAATAATCCTGTCAATGTCCTTATCTATTTACAATTTATAATAATAATAATAATAAATAATAATAATAATATAATAATATAATTTATTATTTACACCCGCCCATCTGGCTGGGTTTCCCCAGCCACTCTGGTGGCTTCCAACAAAGTATTAAAATACAGTAGTCTGTTAAACATTAAAAGCTTCCCTAAAAGGCTGCCTTCAGATGTCTTCTAAAAGTTGGTAGTTATTTGCAAATATTCAATAAACCATTTCCATTCTTTTGTAAAAAGTTAATTATCTTTGATTCTTATTCCCACCCCCCCACCCCGGTACATTTTGCCATTTCTTGTATAGTCCATAAGTTTTTGTGTCCATTCTTCTTTCGTCAGATCGTCTTCTTTCCATTTTTGGGCAAATTACATTCTTGCTGCTGTAGTTGCATACATGAATAAATTTCTATACTGTTTAGGTACTTCTACCCTATACCTCCCAAAGGAAATACTTAAATACTTAACTAATGACCCATCGCATCACAGATAGGTTGGTTCTGCCCCCATTCCCATAAATCCTGGCTAAGCCCATGGCTGCCATTTATAATGCTTAGTGGTTCTCCTGCAAGACTGTTTGCCAATACAGTGATACCTCTGGTTACGTACTTCATTCGTTCCGGAGGTCCGTTCTTAACCTGAAACTGTTCTTAACCTGAAGCACCGCTTAGCTAATGGGGCCTCCCGCTGCTGCCGCGCCACCACCGCACGATTTCTGTTCTCATCCTGAAGCAAAGTTCTTAACCCGAGGTACTATTTCTGGATTAGCGGAGTCTGTAACCTGAAGTGTATGAACTCGAGGTACCACTGTAGTTTTGCAGTTCTTCATTATGATTTAGGGACGCGGGTGGCGCTGTGGGTAAAACCTCAGTGCCTAGGACTTGCGATCGCAAGGTCGGCGGTTCGAATCCCCGCGGGTGAGATCCCTCGTTGTCCCAGCTCCTGCCACCTAGCAGTTCGAAAGCACCCCAAGTGCAAGTAGTAAATAGGTACGCTTTCTAGGGAAGGTAAACGGTGTTTCCGTGTCTGCGCTGTCTGGCTTGCCAGAGCAGCTTCGTCCGCTGGCCACGTGACCCGGAAGTGGCTCCGGACAGCGCTGCCCCGGCCTCTTAAGTGAGATGGCGCACAACCCTAGAGTCGGACACGACTTGCCCGTACGGGCAGGGGTACCTTTACCTTTTACTTATAGGTATGATTTAAAGAGAGCTTCTGTAGCTCAGTATTAAAACACAGGCTTTGCAGGCAGGAGATTCTTATTTGATTCCAGATATCCCTAATGTATGTCAGTAAGTGTTTGGGTCTGTGTGTGTATATCTATCTATCTATCTAATCTATCTATCTATCTATCTATCTATCTATCTCAGGGTCTGCAACCCGCGGCTCCGGAGCCGCATGTGGCTCTTTTACACCTTTGCCGCGGCTCCGGGGCGGATACTAGCGAGGGGAGGAGGCGCATTGTGCGCCCTGACACTCCCACTGTGCGGCCGCTGTACTGGCTGTGACGTCGCATGGGGGCGGTGCGCTGCGTTAGTCACGCACCATCCCGAAGTCACCTTCCCGGTTTTGTGGCTCCCAGTTTTTTTCCCTTCGGAAACGGGTCCAAGTGGCTCTTTTTGTCTAAAGGTTGCAGACCCCTGATCTATCTGATCACCTGTAGCCTATACATTACCACAGAGGCACAGTTATGCTGCTATGAAAACCCTTACAGAAGTAAGGAGTGTGTAGCTGTGTAGCTTCTGGGTAAGATTGCCTTTTGATTCATAACGCTACATAGATGACTGCTGAATGCTGACTCTTGGCTATAAAGTGGTGGAGTGTTCATCCAGTAAAATATTATTATTTCAGTTGCTGTTGTGGTTTATTAAATCAGTTTGCCACCCTTCCTCCGTAGATCACAGGGCAGTTCACAACATTAAAACAGAAGATAAAAAACCACAAATACGTAATAGAAACAAACCGTACACTCCCATCCCTGCCACAACACATTAAAAAAGGTATCGGATGTTAATCAGCCAGAGGTTGGTTGAAGAGAGCGTTTGTGCCAGGCGCCTAAAAGTATATAATGAAGGTGCCAGCTGAAATGATGATGATGATGAAGAAGAAGAAGTAGTTACCAGATGGCACAGCTGGGTACTACCCAGCCTCCTGAACGGTTGTGTTGGTAACCATAGCATTTGTGGCAATTGCATTTTGCAGAAGGGAGAGAGTTGTCATTTGAGTGACCTTGAGTGACCTATAATCCACGCTTCCCTCCATATTTATGCCTGGTGGCCCAGTTATGCCCTTAACTGGACAGGGATAGCTTAATTTCTGTTGTCTATGCTCTTATAAAATATAAAAAGAGGCCCCTTTCTCATTCTAATCTCAGGAAAATACATGAATCTGGAAAAAAACTATTACTTTGTTTATAGATTTTTTTTATTCTTCAAAACTGATGCAGCTTTGATTGGAACAGCTAAAATCTTAATTGAATGATAGCCCTATTCCTTAACCCTTTTCTCCAAGTTGATGTCTTATGCTTTGTCTTATTTAGCAAGTACCCCCGTTTCCTGTATAGTAAAGTGTGTTGTTATTTCTAGTAACATCTATCTGTGCAAAAGAAACATAATAGCTCCCTTAGTTCAACAAATGTAACTGTAAGGCAGGGTCAGGGATTGGAATTTGTGGTCCTCCAGATGTTTCTGGATTACAACTCTGGTTTAGGATGGTGTGAGTTGGAGTCCAGCAACATCTCTTCGCCTCTTGTAAGGGGGAAATCCTTGGCGATCACAGAGTAAAATGGTTCTGCTAAACTTGCTTCCTTTCTGAGAGAAGCAGCAAAACGTATGGACTCTCATGCAATTTTCTTTCTTACTGCAGAGATCAATTTCAAGCTGGATGAGAACGCAAGCAGCTTGGATCTGTTCAAAAAAGAACACTGGTGTCATTTA